GAGCCGATTATCTACTTACTGTGAGCTATTTTGAATGTGGTAGCTAAACTTTTAGCTTCACCCTTCTCTGTATCAAGTATTATTAGGTTCATCTCCTGAGTCAGTAAGGGACCTAGCTTTTCTGTGGTGTTCCTCTTACTTCTGGTATATTCATTGCCTTTTTATTTCCTTTGCTAGCAGTATCTCAATTTGTGCCTTGGCCTTCCTGATTGTTGTCCCCATGTTCCTGTAATAGACTCTTATTACTACAGGTGAAAATATGTGGCCTTTTTTCACTTTTTGGAAGATGCCTTTTTAAGTTGCAGGCTAGTCTCTTGCGGCACTACCTGTCCATCCTTTGCATCAGCATAGCATGCTTTTGTGTCCTTAATGTTGTTCTGAAGGTTAGTTAACTTTGCTGGATTCCTTCTTCCCATAGACTTGCCTCGCATGGAATCTTGCCCCCTAGTTCTGAGTTTGAAGTCTGTATTTCTGCAGTCCAGTGTTAAAGCATTGGAAGCCTACCAGTGCCCCAATTCCTATAATAAAATTAATTCTAAATGCCTGTAAATTTTGGCATTTGTGGCCCTGAGCAGCCCTAATATACTGGTGCCCTAAATGGATTCCTTCTTCCCATAGACTTGCCTCGCATGGAATCTTGCCCCCTAGTTCTGAGTTTGAAGTCTGTATTTCTGCAGTCCAGTGTTAAAGCATTGGAAGCCTACCAGTGCCCCAATTCCTATAATAAAATTAATTCTAAATGCCTGTAAATTTTGGCATTTGTGGCCCTGAGCAGCCCTAATATACTGGTGCCCTAAACATACCTTTGTCCCCCCCCCCCCCAAAGCCCCAGCCCCTCCCCGCCCCCCCCCCACGTGCTGGGGCCCCCAGCGGCCAGGGCTTTGAAGCCAGGTACCCAGGTCTGCAGCCCCCTGCCCTCCCCAGCATTGCCTGAGCCCCAGCTGCCACCTGTGGGAGGCAGCAGCTGCTGCAGTGGAGTGGAGTGCGGAGCCTGGCTCCCCCGCCCCCGTAGGCAGCAAGGCTAAAGTGGGGCCTGTCAGGGGGAGGGGTGAATATGGGCTGCCTGTTGTGGGCTTGGGACTCCCTACCCTGCTTTTCCCCTGGGGTTTCCACAGCCCCAGCAGGTCAGAGCACAGTAGAGAGGATCAGTGCTACTGCTGAGAGCCTGGTGCCACCATGGCAAGGCACCCCTGCTTGCCCAGTGCTGCCAAGGCAGTGCACCCCCTGCTTACCCAACAGCAGTGGGGGTGGCAGTGTGGGCTTGTGCCCCCTGCTGCTTTCACATGGGCAGGGGGCATCTCGCCACAGCTTTGCAGGGCTCCTGGCAGCAACACCAAACCTCCCTGCCCCGCTCTGCCCTGCTGCGGTGGGTCCTATCCACTGGGTTGCAGAAGTCAAAGGGAGGAAGGCAGCAAGGCAGGGAGCCCACAGCCACCAGTACACCCCCACCCTATGCACAAATATGAGGGGCACATACCCCCTATGTTCCCCCCCACAGGAGTGCACCCTAGATGAGCTACCCACAATTCCATCCTGCCCTGGGCCCAA